TGTGACAGGGCATTATCAGCTTTCAGCTCTAATAACTATTTTTCTGCTTGTGAAATTTGAGCTAAGTTGCATTTATCATTTCTTTACTGTTTATAAAGATTCCATTGCAAATCCAATGCGGTCAAGTCATTGGCGCCTGAGGATTCTTTTATTTACGATTCATTACTTATAACTGGCAACAAATATTAACGTTGTTCCCAGACTTGAGTCATTTGGGAGAAATGCTTTGCTTCTTCCAACTTTAATATTAATACCTTTTGTGATCCATTTTGTACATCAGCGACCAGGATTCGGAGTAATGGTTTTCTTCTTAACTTTATCTCGGGCTGCCTCAAAGGCACTCTAATATGTAGTTGAGCTAAATAATTAATTACCTGTAGCTTTATTTCTATTTGAGCTATTTCTTTGTTATTCCTCCCATATTTTCCACTTTTATGATAGTTAAGGACAATAAATAGTATCATATAAAGAAAGAGAAAGGGACGAAAAGAGGGAGACTGGGGAAAAAAAGAAAACAAAACAAAATGGTGGGAGAAGAAAAACAGGGAAGAAACTAAAATCATCAAAAGAGAAACCAAATTTTTCTAATCTGCTAAAGCATTTTCATCATGTAAAAATGTCAGCTCCCAAACGATTCTTTTCCTAGCAACGTAAAATATGGCGTTAGAAATATCTTTCATTAATTCGTGCAGAAAAAGCCTCATAAAGGAATATTCATAATACGGTTTTGTACTCAACTCTTGTATAAAACTATCTTACTATATAAAATACCTGTGAAACTTCATTTAAGAAAAAAAAAAAAAAAGATTTAAAGACATGATGATCATGGAATTGTTGTTATGCAGTGATAATTCAACTCTCTTTCCACTCATCCGTAGGGGAAATGTAGGGGGAAAAGGAGAAATGTAAGGGATTCAAGCCATTTTGTTGCTATGTGTGTCGCTGTGTAGAGGTACGCATCAGCTTAGTATTCCGAAGACAAGCGTTTGATTACTAGCAAGAGCGTAATAAATTTCTCAAAGATCTTTCACTCCAATAAAGTCTATCATCCCGGAATAAGCATGCTTTGCAGAGACTGAATAAAGCGGTAGCATTTGTTTTCCTGAACGGTGTACTGGACAAAATAGACACACTCCTTGAACCCATAAATTCCACATCCTACTTCAATGGACTGGTATCTTCTTATGATTCTTCGCAATTTTCACAGGGAACATCGCAGTGTATCTCCGAGATGACGCCTTTCCCCAGCGATATTCTGCATAGAAACTGAATTTCATCTTACAAAGCAAATCTATAAATCTTCCAAACAACGATTCAGAGCAAGAATGGCTGTCCAAACGTCATTTATTGACAAAATTAGTTTTTTTTTTTTTTTTTTTTTTTTTTTTTTTTTTGCATAATTATACTAGTATTTCAAATCTTAATTTCACATTGCACAGATGACATCTATATTTGGCATATATGTTAGGTTACTGGCAAAGCACGCAAGGGCTATCTGCCTTGGAAAGGGATGCCTTAATGGAGGACTTTTTATAGGAAACTGGCTGATATTCAAGTTACACATAGCGAAACCACGAAAACTAACAATATAACCAGCCCGTTCCTCTGGGATCGAACACGGGTCAAAATCATAGTATTCCGAAGTCTTAACCACTTGATTATTAGTAGGACTTGATATATAACAATACAAATAATTCTTGGAAAGTAACAAATAAAAGATAAACAATACAATTGCAAGGAATATATGCATGATAGGCTGCTGCAATATTTATAGAAATACAAGGAGATAACTTCATCAGTATTACAAATAGAAGGAAGTAAACAAATTATTTTGCATTAGGTAGTCTACTATAATGTCGATAGAATCCGTGAACATCATATATCCTCTTAAGAGGACTTTCGAATCAACAAATGTCAAGTGCCTCCATTCTTCAGCCTCTAAAAATTACGGACACAAACTTCCGTATTTTCTCCAACGACCCGACACGTAATCATACAGCTTCCCCAAAAGATAGTTTGCATTTTAATATTAATCGAGCCTCGTCGGCAGAAATTTTTTTCGCCAAATTGGAGTGAATATCCTTTTTATACCACATAGTAATATTTGTATCATCAGATAATATAAAAATTACAAACAAAAATTTTTTCACTACCTTGAAAAAGAGTTGATGCAGACTCAAAAAACTTCTCTTTTATTTGAAAAATCTTACGTTAAAGAAATGAAGGTTTTCTGTTAGCATGATGATATTTCTTGTTCAACTACAGAAAGTCTTCTAGAAGAAAAGTTGTATTATGTACATGAAAGACAAGGAAATTCGAAAAAAAAATTACTGTAATTTTCACGTCAATGAAACCCTTTTCTTCTTTCTCGCGAAATATTATCTTCTCCTAAGAAATGCCACAAAATTTTCTATGTAATTCTTGATGACTCATTTTGTGCTAATTTTCTCTGGTAGCCATTAATACCAAGAATATAAACAAAACAATAACTTTCCTTTTCTAACTAAACGAACAAAAAATGAAAATTCTTCCCAGCTACATTTCTTTTTCTTACCACAAGGTGTCAAGAAGGGGAACATATTGTTTAACGCGTACCTACAAGTGAAGCCCCCGCGAGGTTTACACTTTTTTTTAAGGAAGCAAGTTCATCTAAATGAAGCTTTTTAATTAAAACTCGGCATTCGCGGAATTCGACGCTTCGCTGGGTAGAAACAATCTGCGAAAAGGGTTGAAGACATAACATCAAGAATTGGTTTGGATGGAATGCTATTGCGTGTTAAAGTTTCGCATGTTTGTTAATTGGGAGGGGGATTTGAAATCTCTTTTGTACTTTCGTTATCTAAGCCCATTCTTTCAAAAATTACAATAGCCTTGCCAGCATATTTAATCTAGGGAAGAGTAATTGATTGCGAAGATTTTATATCGAATTGTTATTGTAAATCCTTCATCTTCATAATAAAAAATAAATGACGTAAAGAATACCTTTCAGTGTGTTAACATGGAAAACACCATTACAAGGAATGATTTCGCTGAATAATACTAAGTATTAACATAAATATAGGCTGACACGTAATAGTTATTTGCATTTTAACTGAAAACGTTGCCCCAGGCAACGTTTTCAGTTAAAAAGCAAGTAGACTAGGCTGCACGTAATAGTTACCTGCATTTTAACTGAAAAAGTGCTCAGAATGCTGAATAATTAGACAAATGATTCTAGATTCGTATGCAAATTTATAAAATTAAACCTAATTTATTAGCAAACTTTACATTGTTTAACCTTCCTTCCCTTCTGATGGCTTATTAGCTTTTAACTAAGTACATAATGCATTTAACTAAGTCCAAAATTCTAAAACACATGCAAGTGGTAAAAAATATTAATTTAAAATTACAGATTCTACGTTTGAGACTCTTACATCGTTACTTGCTGCGTTTAAGAAAGTACCAGTGGTATACTACGTAAAAAACAGCAAACTGCTTTAATGTTTTACACTGAAGGAATCCCGACTAACTGCTTTGTCTTTCCTAGTGACCTAATTGCCATAAGTGAAGGCCTTGATTCTGTTGTCTCACTCAATGAAGCTGAAGCACCTTTCTTTGTCCCATCAAATTCACCTACAGTGAATTTCTTCCGTGTTAATGAGATTACAGACACTCTGGTTAAGGCCGGTGCGGAAGATGCCTTGGTGCCTTTTACCCTCTCATTATACGGAGCTTTTTTCCATGATTAAGTACACTTAGCTTATTCCACTGGTCCACCTCTGGTATCAGAGTAATCAGCCTGTTGGCTGTCTGGCAATTGATTGCAACAGACAAGATCAAACATTCTCACTCGCTTCCTTAGAGGGTATCTTCTGTCTTTGACATTTTTGAGTGTTCCAAGTGTTTCATAATAATCTGCACTAAATGCTCTACTGACCAACTTTTCTCTAAACATATTCTTGCTTGCCTGGGGCTATCTAGGCAGAATTTTACTGACAGTCCACTGTTGGTAGTGGATTTCTTTAGAGTGCACAATGTCATGGACTTGATTTAGCCCTGCTAGTCTTTGGGGATGAGAAACAACAACAACAATATTCCCAACGAGGAGCTGGAGCCACGTTGTTAACAACGTGGCTCCAGCTCCTCGTGACTTCTAAGCCTAAGCGCTAGCCAATACAAAAAAAGACTCACCAAAACCAGATCGGTAAACTGGGGAACGGACGGTTAATGAAATAAATAGCTTTACCAAAGCTCTCTCCCCAAATTATACATTTGCTTACTTTTGAAAGTCCAACTAATCTGCTAAAGAACGACAAAATAAATATAAATTAAAAGAATTAACATGAAATTAATCTAATATCTAAATTAATATGTTTAAATTACAATCAGTTGTCTTACTAACCTTCTTTTCTAGCACTTTTATAAGTATTTGAGCAAAAAATGTTTCATGCAATGACGCCCTTAAATTCAGAAAGACATTAGACTATATATCTAAGTCGTTCAAAATAGACGTGTACAGGATGCGTAATTTTGCCTGTGTTGTTTATATGACACATTTTTTCTTCCCTGAATCCAAATTTCTACCCAAATAGATGTAAGCTTTTATTTAAGAAATAAAAAAAATCTAATGCTAGGCTCAAACATATCTCAGCGTTTAGTTGTATTAAATTAGAAATACTTTGAAGTTAACATTTACTATTCCGAGGTTATTATAGGCGTAATTTTACCAATCTTTACAAAATTCTCTAGAATCTGCTGACGTCAGTTTGTCAAAAATCATCGAATTCCCTCGTATATGATCTCGTGATGTAACTGGTAACCGCGGTTTAACTGATTCCAACTCTCAGCCTGTCTTGTCCAGCTCGCAACTAGAGGACCACGTTTCGAATCTGACGAGGGCATTGCCGATGATGAGAGCATAATTTTTCAAGTTTCTTGCTCCAAAAAATTGATGATCTCTACAAATTCAAGAAAAGCATATTTTTATTTAAAAATATCCTGTTGTTGTCTCAACAGTAACATCAGAACAAATCCACAAGTTTTATTGTGGTAACAAGAGCAGGACTGCATAGGTCGTGACATCAGCTGTAGGCAACTTATAGATGATCGAATGATTTTGCCTAGTGCCGTCATAATTTTGAAGAATTCTCTCCCCAGGATGGCTTAAAATATTCTTGTTGTCTATAAAACAGAAAAAGTTATTCTTAAAATGACGAATTTGATGTAATTTACTTGTGTAGAAAAGTGCAAAGAAGATAAAAATGAAATCGGAATCGTCTAAGAATAAATTTCAGAATTCCAAACGATTTTTCCGCATGCTATCTTTGATATACATGTCGTATCTAGAATAATTCTCTTAATGTCTTGCAAAGGAATTTTTTTGTAGATCGCTAAGCACTAAAATAAAAGAGAGATATAAATATAAAGAAATTTAATAAACCTTGTATTTTCTGACAGCCTAATTCACCCAAATCTATTTATGAAATAGATAACAGCACTTACAATCTTAAGAACTCATCTTTGTCATGTCAAAAGCTTGCTGTTCGGATTGTCAAGATGGCTAATTTGGAAATCCTCCAAACAAGCATGAAGATTGTTTTCTAATCATTACATTCGCTTATAATATTTAAAAATAACTTCAAGCTGTGTGTCTTCTCTAACTAAGTTCTAAAATTTTATAAGCATTTGCGCATTTACAGATAAAAACGTATTTTTGCCTATTAAAGGCGTATTAGTCAGCCATGATCAAATCACGAAATTTTCCTTGCTAAATAGAAGTGTTCTGAAGCTGATTAGGATTGAAAAGGGTTTAATTAATAACAGCGCCTATCGGTAAAGAGATGGTTCTATGTTTTTTTTTTTTTTTTTTTTTTTTTTTTTTTTTTTTTTCTTGGAACAATTTTCAAATTTTTAGCCTAATCTTTACATTTGTTTACAATAAAATAAATGTAAAAAGTATGGCTCCTCTCATTAAATTCTAGACGTTTGTAGATATTTTATGGAACTTAAGGAGAGAAAGCAATCATTTAAGCATTAAGAGCATTCGACCAAATCAAGCATTCAGAATCAAATCACGATAGAGTGCGTTCGACCAAATCAGTCATTTGAAGTCTAATTACGATAATCTCGTTATCAAGTAGAAATTATCCGAAGCTGGTTATTGGTTGCGGAAAGCCGAGTTAGGAAGAAGGCCTAGAAAATGTACTCAAGTAACAGCAACCGTTTCTGTCGTTGCGAGCTAATATCTTGCACGAATAGGTTCCTGATTAATATCCTGTACCATAGACAAAACAAAATAATAAAAAACATGATCCGGTGGTCTGGATGCCCCACTTGAAGTGCCATTATTGTTGTAGTTAAAGGATTTTACTTTGATTTTAATTGTATAGCCTACCTGAATATTTCTGGATAATGGATTTTACATTGTTTTTAGATTATAAGGTATTTCTCCCGCCTTCTTAGCATCCCTTCGTGGTGTCATGGTTAGCACGTTCGTCGCGTTATCGTAAGCTCCGTGCTTCGAGTCCCGGTGAAGACATTGCTCATTTTTCTTGTCTCCTGTTTCAAAAATACCTAATGTCTTTACAGTATAATGATATAGCAAGCCTTCGAAATTTATGAATCACTGTAAACTCCTTTCTGTTATGATTATAGGTAACATTTTTGCGATATTCTCCACCCCTTCCTCTTCCCTTATGTTCCTGTTAATAATAGTCTGTTACAATATCTCTATTTGTCGATATGTTTGTATATTGACCTGTCCTCATGGTAATGTGACTCTTAAATTTGATTTATTTTTTATTTTTGTTATAGCTAAATTCAATATTGATGATAGATTTTTTCCCTCAAAAGGTCACCTTTCTAAAATAAAAAACTGAAAATGTCCTGGTTTAAATATCATTTAAACTCTGGTTATAAAAATTACACTTAGCTGTAGAAGAATAATATTAATCCTATTCTTTAAGAAAATTTTGTTTTCTTATTATAAGGTACTTTCTCCCGCCTTTTTGCATGCCTTCGTAGTGTAACGGCTAGCAAACTCGGTGCGTATTCCAGAGGGTCCAGGTTAGAGTCCCGGGGAGGGCATAGCACATTCTTCATGTACTCCTGCTTCAAAATAACCTAATAACTCTACATTATTAACTCGAATATTTGGTACTTTTATTACCATTTTTCTTCCAGAATTTATCCATTCCATTCTTTTGAAAATAAAGATCCAGCATTTGTTCTTTGGACTTTTCGAAAGAATACAGAGAAATTATGAAAGGAAAAATTAAAATCTGTAGTTTTAAACACTGCCTAAAATTTTCTAGCGAATTGAATTCTAACTTAGCATTAATCTTTCAAAAGAATGTTTCCAGAGTAGGATGACAGCGTCAACGCAATTCCTTTCACTCGAAGATGATCAAATCCTTCATTTCACAACATCCGCCACGCGAGAATTATTCCAGCAGATGTAGGCGGACTCATCTGGCCTCAAATTGGGCGAGAATACAAAAAAACTCCCTGTGTCTTTATTGTATTCGAATGATGTTCTGCCTGCCGTTATGGGTTGTTAATGGCTCGCCGAAAAGCGTTGGACGTGGAGAAAGTGTAGCCCCAAAAGACGCTTGGTTGGGCACAACTTTCTTACTTCGGCCACGCTTCGACGAACGAAGGGGTTGCCTTTATTTTTTAAAAAGTGGAATTTCTGTCTGTAAGGATCTAATTGTCGCCAAGTTTGTCGAGAAGGATAACTGATGCTTCATTGCCGTTAAGAATGCAAGACAAAAACCTTGTTGCATTTTGTTATTTAAGATACTAAATAGAAATAATTGTCACTTTATTCCCCTGTCTGGTCTTTAGATTTTAAGGTCTCTAAATATATTATGGAGAGACAAAACTTCCCTGTCATAAAATCGTTCGTCATACCGCAGTTTCTAATATTTTTGGGATGCTGCCTAATAGCTATGTTAAACGATGCAGCCTCATAAAAAGGCCCCTAACAAAGAAGCAATGGTCTATTCCTTCTCTGTGATTAATGTGGAACGTGGTTTTGCTCTGTTAGGAATGCAAAATAAAACATTTAGCCAAACATTATAATTCTAGAACATACAAACAGTAAAAAATAAAACAACACTGAAAGAGAAAAAAAAATTACACAACACTCAAATAAAAAAAAAAATTAAAAAAATTTAAAATGGAGATGCGTTTTCCGTAAGGCATGGCATTAATGCTGCTTTCACATCCTCTGCTTTGTAATAAGAGAATAATGTAAAATTTAAATGCTAAAAATTTCCTGTTTTGAGTCAACAATAAAATATCATTGGTATTTTCTTAAAGTTAAGAGCTTAACTGTGTAAGGTTTATGTTAGTTACTCTGTTATCTTATTATTTTATTTGCACTGTAGGATTTTCCTTATTTTGCATAGCAAATTTATTTTAAGTTTGATACCTGTTCTAGACTTCTCAACTTCCCCTCACATTCTCTCGCCAGGATGTAAATTTAAAGTGAAGTGAAGTGCTATTTAAACGTGTGAATATCTCAGTTTATTCAGAGCGTGTTTCGCTAGCCAAGCGCACGTTTCGTTGTTATTTCGCGGTCACGCTAGTAAGCCTCTTGGCCTTATCAGATTAGTATCACGCTGGTTAGATTCCTGTAAGTCCACCTCTTAAGTTCGATCTTGCACTATTTATTTCAGGTTTGACTTGTATTATATTCTACGTTTTAGTTTTCACCGCAAGTTGACGGTATCTTTGTAAAGCACGAAGTCTGTACCTTTCTGTTAACTATTTTGAATTATTAAAGGATTATTTTTACTCTTCGTCTGAGTCAGTAGTTTTTATTCACGCCTGTGCGAGGATTCGTCAGATCACTATATTGTCTATTCTAGTTTATGTGGAACATGAGAGACAGACTGTATAGCACTATCACTTCCATTTTCGTCAGATCTTACCAGGATGCAAATTAAGTATGCACGTATAACAAAATAATTCTTGAAAACTGGAGAGAGAGTTTTGGCAGTGACGCTGGCTATCCTGATAGTTCCTCACCTAGCTATGAGAATAACTTTAGACCGGCTTTCCGCAAGCCGTATCTGCTCGCACAGTTAGATTAGCTTGAACCAACGCTTGATAAAATTAATGAATTACCGTTGTTAAATTATTTTTTTAATTTTAATTTGTTTTATGTTAGCTTAAATCCAACAAGTAGAGAAGATAGTTATGTAAGCACAAGACATGAACTTGTTAATTAAAAAAGTTTGTTCTTTTTCGTTGGTGTTACTTTGATACACAACTGGCAGTTCTCACTAGGGACAAAGTTTAGTTAAATAAGCGAGTGATTCCTTATAACTACCTATCCACATCGATTTCAGTTACAATTAGCTGTATATAAGTTATACAAAACAAACATTTTTTAACCTTAATTTTTAATAGCCCATAAAACATCCTTTTCAATTTTATTATTTTTCTTTCCTGCTCTAAAAATAGGAAAATACTTGTGATTATTCTTCCTGAAGTGCGTCATCCCAAAATTAACGAATATAGTATCGTTTTTAGGCAATGCAAATGATACATATACGTATGTAGATCAAAATGTTTCGGATCTCGCATAAAAATCATGTAAAATATTTCTGAAATATTTAAAACTGAGTACCATTTTGTGATCTTCTTCATGATAATGCTCCTCTGATTCAGTTGGCTTTGCTAAAGGCAGTAAACTAATATGGAGTTGAGGAAATTTACTAGCTCACAGTCCGTATTTAGCTCAGAATGATTAAACTAAAATCTGACCTTATAAGGTATTTCTTCCTCTTTCTTAGCATGCCTTCGTAGTATAGTGGTCAGCACGCTCGGCGCGTATTTCGAGAGGCCCCTGGTTCGAGTCCTGGCGAGGGCATTACTCATTTTTCATCTCTCCAGCTTCGAAATAACCTAATGGCTCTACAATGGCGCCCGAACTAAAAAAAGGGAGTGGATGGTGAATCTCCACCACTAGTAGTTGGCGATTAGATCCCCTAATCCTGTTATCCTTTAAAAGGGGGAGTATATAAGGTATTTCTCCCGCCTTCTTAGCATGCCTTCGTGGTGTAATGGTCATCACGCTTGACGCAAATTCGAGAGGTCCGTGGTTCGAGTCCCGGCGGGAGCATTTTTCATTTTTCATCTTTCCAGTTTCGAAATAACCCAATGTCTTTACA